GCCTCAGCAGACCCACCAAAGGAATGTTCCTTAATGCAGAGCCCGTGGCCTTGGCCCTGTTTGCTGTCTCTCATCCTCACATCACCTGGGGCAGGTCCGCCATCCAGGTATCTGGGGCCAGCGAGGAGAGGGATGGGGGAGACCAGGACTGAAACCCTGAGCCACTGTGGCAGCAGGTGGTGTAGTGGTTGAGGCACTGGCCTTCTACATGGTGGACCACAGTTCAGGTCCCGAACCTGAAGAAACTCATGCCAGGCACGTGTGCATGTGTGCCCAGAATCCCGAGAGGAGAATGAAGTAGAAGGGATTGTGGCATGGCCATTCCTGGGGGATTTCTCACTTTCTGTCTCTCTTGCAAGCGTACACACCCTGTAGCAAAAAATCACTCTTAAAAAAAAAGAAAAAATCCCAAGCTGCTTGTCTCTGCACGTGCTGCCTCATGGGCCAGCGTCGGGAGTGTGTGACAGTCCTTGTCAGTGGCCGGGGCTGGCTGCTGCAGGGTCCTGGGATCCGTCGGAGGCCTGGGAGCCGCCAACAGCACTACGCCTCTGGGCCAGCGAGGCTCAAATGTGGAGTCTATGTGCAGCGGCCTGCAGACCCGTGTGGCCACCTGTGTTACGTGCAAACTTCGTGTCATCTGCTGGCACTAGCCTGCAAGTTCAGTTTTCCTCTTCTCTTGGATAATGAGGAAATCTGGAACCCTGCCCCGGGATCCCCAGGAGTCATACAACTCCACGGACTCACAGCCCTGTCGCACTCTGCCTGACACAGTCTTCCCACTAAGGGGCCGTGTGCAGCACCTCTCCCCGAGCTGTGTACACTCCCTCCCTGAAGCTGTGTGCACACCCTCCCTGGCAGCCGCGTGCAACCCCTTTTGTGGAGCTGTGTGCAGCCCCTCTCTGGAGCTATGTGAACCCCCTTCCCGGCAGCCACATGCAGTTCCTCCCCTGGAGCCGTGTGCACCCCTTCCCTGGAGCTGTGTGCACCCCCTCCCTGGAGCCATGCGCACAATGCTGTGAACACGCTGTTCCTCGGAGATGCCTCTCTGTTTCCCATCCTTACTTTACATTTCGGTGGGAACTGGGGAACTGAAGACACGAGGTCCCAGGCCTCCTGAAACAGCACCTGTCCACTCGTGCTCCCCGACAGTCGGCATTTCCTCCGTGAGCTGTGGATGCCGTGGTGTGAGACATGGTGTGATCGCTCACATCCCTTTGGAGTGGGGACTCAGGTTAGAGGTTCCTGCTGGAGGGTCTGAACCACTACCCTGGGGTCTGCTCTGGGAGGAAGGTGTGGGTCTGGCTGGGACTCGGGTTCCACAAGGGAGCAGGTCGGTGGCCATAAGAAGGCAGTGGGTCAGCCGCACAGCACCGGGTCGGGGGTGAGGAGGCGGACGGTCACTGCCGCTCTGGGGCTCACCGTCACCTCCACCAAAGAAGCGTGACTTCTGTGACTTCATGTCCTGGCCTGCTGTGGGGGCAAGGGAGAGAGGGAGCGTAAGGGGTCCCAACAAGGCATGCCCAGCTTTGCAGCCTTGTGGTTAAGGGAGGCAGATTCCATATGGCCCAGTATGGTTCAAATCCTGGTCCCGACAGTTTGGAAAACACGTCAAGTGCACGTGCATGTGTGCCCCAAGCCCCTCTGGGAGGGAGACCTGGGGGAGAAGGGATCAAGCTTTGCGGTGCCCCACTGGGTGCTCTCCGCCCTTCCTCCCTCCGTCTTACAGCCTCTGGCAATTAATAATCATGATGACCATAATTTGAAAAAGAAAGGAGATAAAGGCACATTGCTTGCCCATAGCAGTCTTTGGGGGCATCAGATAATCAGCCAGCTCAGGCCGAGGTCGGAGGGCATTGACAGCCCCAAGGATGCCAGGTGCTCTGCGGGCCGCCGACTCCTGCGGCATTTGAACATTGCGTGCGATCCAGACAGGCCTCTGTGAACACAGACTTGATTTAAGATCGTCAAGATCTGACTTTTTCCACACCAAGACCGAGTTTTCCTAGCACCCTGAAAAAATCACTCCAGTTTCCTTCCCCAGGAAACTAAGAAGTCACATCTTCACATATGCCTCCTACTTAGACATTTCCCTTTTTTCCTTCGTAAGTAAGTCCTTGCAGCCTTCACTGGGCGAAAGACATTTGCGAGTTCAGAATCTGCTCACACAAGCCAGCCAAGGGAGCCCCAGGTACCGGACTGGGAAGGAATGAAGCCTCTGAGGCCAGGGGCAGCTGGTCTGCCAGTGACGCCCCAGTGCCCCGCCCTGATGTGGTTGGAATTCAATTCTGAAATGGGTGATGGAGAATGGGTTCAGCCAGACTTCGTGTGACATGTGGTTGTACTAAGTTTAAACTGGCGGAACCCACCCCAGGGACAGGCCGTTTTCCTGACTGCCTCACCAGGGGCGACTGTCCCTGTCCCACACGCTGCACCTGGCTTGAGCGTGGGTCTTCGTGCTACGCGTGCTTGATACCGGGTTCGAGCCCAGGCAGTCCAGAAGCACAGCATTGGCCACGTATTCTTGAAACAGAACTGGCAAAGAAGTGACCTTCCAGTGGTTCATTTGCAAATCATCGCAAACCGTGGAGTGTTTCCTCCCAGCAGCTGTCTCTTGGTGGTCAGAGCCCCAAGCTGGCTCAGACTCTGTTCAATGTTTGTGAAACTTGGTTATGATTTGAGTGAATAGAAAAGCAGGATTACGATAATATCAGTAGTCAGTTGGAACTTGAACTCAAATACATCACATAAAAACGCCTCTTGGTATTTTTTTCCCCTGGTATTGGGATTCTCGAGGCCCAGCGAAGCAGGAGGTCGATGGAGGCTCAGGGGCACCGGTGGCTCCCGAGTGTCTAATTAGCTCTCAGTGCTGTGCCTAGCTTCTGCCTCCGCCCCGGTGCGTTAAGGAACATCAGTCCACGCTTCTCCTGTCATTACCGTGATCGGGTAAACATATAAACGGGCAGAGAGAGGGAGAACAAATGAGATTCTCCCACGTCCCTTTCTCACGTGGACAGGAGTTAGAGGACGTGGGTGTGGGGGAATTCGGAGGTGCAGGCGTGCATAGAGCAGACTGAGCCGGGGCGCGGAGCCCCCACCTGGGGAGGGCACCCGGGTCTCAGCCCTGGCGACACAGCATGAGGCTGCTGGGAGTTGGCATAAGTCCTCTTAAGGAAGAGTAGATTAGCCGTGGCTTCAAATATATGTCATGTTCAAACTCCACATGGTTTTCAAGAAGCCCTAGCGTGCTTCCGTTACAAATGGACGAAGGTGGCTCTCTCGTGAGTTTTCTAATAAGGACTGTTACTGAGGTTTGCAAGTAGAATTTTAGTTTTATTGGATTACAAATCTGAAAGGAAAGCGATTTGACAATATTCTTACTGGGACCAGCAGATGGCGTAATGGTTATGTTGCTGGGCTCCCATGTAGTTGACCGTGGTTCTAGTCCCAGACCCACCAGGTTAAAACTCAACACCGAGCACATGTGTGTGCGTGCTCAAAATCCTGAGAAGAGAAGGGAGGAGAAGGGACTGTGGTGTGGCCGTCCTCCCGGGGCAGTGATTTCTTGCTTTCTGTCTCTTGTCTCTCTGGCAAGCACATGTGCCTATAGCAAAAACCTCTTTCTCTCAAAAAAGAAAAGAAATCTTATTTACAGATATCATAAGGTGAGAATACAATTAATGTGTGCTTTTTAGAAAAAGAAATTTAGGTTTTCGTCTGTAGAATATTACAAGCAGACATTCCCGTGTGCTTGTAACCCAGCTGACCGGAAGGTGTGCTGTGGCTCTCGGGGTGTTTCATGTTGTACCTGTTGAGCTGACGGCATGTCTTCCAGCACCCTCCAGCGTCACACTGCTCTGTACACACGTGGTCATCTGTCACGTGTATGTGTTCTTTAATAAAGGAATGAAAGCACCGAATTCCCAGTCTAAAAGTAAATGCAGTGCATTTTTTTTTAAATGCCAAAGATAAAAGAGAAAGCTTAAAAGCATCACAATGACCAAGCTGGCTGTGCAGTCCAGTGGTTAAGGGGCCAGATCCTACATGCCAACTGTGGTTTCAGTCCTTGCCCTGGCAGGTTGAAAAGGATGGTAGGTGTGTCATGGGAGCTTATGTTGCTGGGCTCCCATGTAGTTGACCGTGGTTCTAGTCCCAGACCCACCAGGTTAAAACTCAACACCGAGCACATGTGTGTGCGTGCTCAAAATCCTGAGAAGAGAAGGGAGGAGAAGGGACTGTGGTGTGGCCGTCCTCCCGGGGCAGTGATTTCTTGCTTTCTGTCTCTTGTCTCTCTGGCAAGCACATGTGCCTATAGCAAAAACCTCTTTCTCTCAAAAAAGAAAAGAAATCTTATTTACAGATATCATAAGGTGAGAATACAATTAATGTGTGCTTTTTAGAAAAAGAAATTTAGGTTTTCGTCTGTAGAATATTACAAGCAGACATTCCCGTGTGCTTGTAACCCAGCTGACCGGAAGGTGTGCTGTGGCTCTCGGGGTGTTTCATGTTGTACCTGTTGAGCTGACGGCATGTCTTCCAGCACCCTCCAGCGTCACACTGCTCTGTACACACGTGGTCATCTGTCACGTGTATGTGTTCTTTAATAAAGGAATGAAAGCACCGAATTCCCAGTCTAAAAGTAAATGCAGTGCATTTTTTTTTAAATGCCAAAGATAAAAGAGAAAGCTTAAAAGCATCACAATGACCAAGCTGGCTGTGCAGTCCAGTGGTTAAGGGGCCAGATCCTACATGCCAACTGTGGTTTCAGTCCTTGCCCTGGCAGGTTGAAAAGGATGGTAGGTGTGTCATGGGAGCCCCGAACCCCAGCAGAATGGAGAGGGAGGACAGAGATTCTGGCGTGACCGCGCCTCATTCGATAGTTTCTTATCTCTGTCTCTCTCTGGCAAGAGAGAGAGACATAGCATCTGTCTACATAAATCAATAAATCAATAGTGTTTTCTCTTTTAGACAGGACTTTACATCTGGCTTGTTTTCTCCCACAGGGCATGCTGTTGAAACGAAGTGGCAAATCTCTGAACAAAGAGTGGAAGAAGAAGTACGTCACCTTGTGTGACAACGGCGTGCTGACCTATCACCCGAGTCTACACGTGAGTATGGCCCCTTGCAGCAGTGAGAGGCTCGGGGCTCACAAGGCCGGCCAGTGCTGGGGGACCTGGGCTCAGTGAGTGGCAGCAGTAGTCTCCTGCTCGAACAGCAGGTTCTTCCCACCATCCCCAGCTCCAGGCCCTCGGGCCGTTCCTCTGCCCTCCAGAGCAGCCATCCCATGGCTCCCTGATTCTACAGAGAGTTAGTGAAAGGCACAGAGGAAGCTCGGTTTAAAACGAGAAGAAAAAAGACAGGAGCAAGCAGTGAACGAGGTGGGAGGAAGAGTGCATCCATCTGAGAGTCTAGAATGAGGGCCAGCAGATGGCATAGCACTTATGTTGTCGGACTCCCGCATGGCCGACTGTGGTTCAAGTCCTAGACCCAGTGGCTTGAAAATCACACTGGATGCGTGTGCATGTGTGCCCAAGGTTCCAGGAGGAGAATGGAGGAGAAGGGATTGCAGCACGGCTGTCCCCTGGGGGAGGCAGTGATTTCTCATTTTCCCTCTCACTATCTCCTCTCTCTCTTTGGTAAGCGCTTGCGCACTAAGGCAAAAACCTTCTTTAAACAAACAAAAAAACTCTAATGACAGAAACAGTGGCATCGGAACCCAGGACTCAGCTCCGAAGAGCTGCTAACGAAAACCATCAAGTGTAAGCTGTGACTGGTTTTATGTCAGGGAAGCACACTGCTATGTGGGTGAGGTGTGTAAGACAGATTGAAAGAGCAGAATTTTATTCTTGGGGGGAATGCAGACTCCCACTCGCGGTTGGTTCTCTGGGCTAGCCTGGGTGAGATTTAAGGTTGGAGCGTGAATGCTAACTCTGTAGCTTCACATTCCATGCCTCCTCCTGGACATAGAGAAATGTGTAGCTTAGAATATAGAGTGTTTTTCATTCCAGTCCGTCACTGTCGAGCTATTGCTTTTTTTAAAATTTGAAACTTTTTAAAACTACAGTGATTGGTAAGAAATCAGAAATAAGCATATTGAAGAAGCCACCCCCCACATACCAGCTAGAGAGCATGCCTGTTAGCAGTCTGGGGCGCAAACCCTGGTCGTCCGTGTGTGCACGTGCTTCCTCCCTCTGTAAGCACGCTGCCACTCACACACACCGCCGCGGCCACTCTCCTCGCCGAGGGAAGCCCGCACACCGCCCGTCGGCGTCCACTCGCTGCCCGCTCGGTGCTTCTGTGGTGTTCTGTCGCACAGATACGTCCTCATTGACTCGACAGTGTTACGGAAATGGACGTTCAGCAAATAGATGTGAACACCTAATGAACGTCCCTCTGTACACCCTTGTTCATGTCCCTCGGAGAAGGTTCCAGTCATCAGCTTCCACCGACCCCAGAGCACTAGGCCCCTCTGGCCCCTCCCTCGAAACTGTCTCCTTGGCTGGGTAGCTACTCCGTGGGTGGCTTGGTAATTCCTAAGACCCTGCCTTAGAGCCGAGGTCTGGTCATTGGCGCAGTTGCTTTGTGTATCTTAGAGAAAGGTGTGATCCGAGCTCTAGTCCAGCTAGGCCGCCTGGCCAGGAGAAGGGGATAGCTGATCAGTGGGTGGTGTATTTTGAATCGCAGCCCAGGCCACTTCTTGCCCGTATGGCCCGGCGAGTTCCTACGCAGCGGCTGAGGGCTGCCTGCTTTCCACCCACCCTCTCGGTTACGCAATCACAGCCAGTTCTTCCAAACTTCTCCTGTATCTCACTTTTCCTCGGTACCTGCTCCGTTTGCAGCTTCACCTCTTTCA